AAAGACTCAGTTAACGTGGGTTAACGTGCCCATCAGGAATCACAGGTATTTTGGACCAGCGCTGCATAAAATTGGTTCCTGTGGAATGTGACCTTTCTGTCACCTGGCTTTCATGCTGGGGACAGGGTTCCAGAGCATCTTTCAGATTTGGCCAGCAGCCACCTCTTGGTCTACAGCAGCAAGTGTCCCTTAGCCCTTTGTTGGGGCTCAGCTGTGGCTTGTGGCTGCTCAGAGCTGCAGCCAGGATGGGTGCTGGAATGCTGCAATATGCAATTCTGCCACAGCAGCTGGCAAGCCCTGGTAAATCATGCTGGTGTGGAGAGCTGATGAGCTCTGAGCTGTGGTGGATCTCCTCTGTGAGCAGCTGGCAACCAAGGGCAGGCCGAGAGCTCAGCGTGGTTCATTTTCCCTTCAGGGACTCGTGAGTCTGGGATGCACTGCTTGGGCCAGGCTGAGCAGCAGCCTCTGCCCAGCCCCTGGCACACCACAGCTGCCTCCTCAGCTGGAGGGGTGGAGGGGCTGCCACACTGAGCAGCCATGACAGCTCCAAAGGGACAAGGCTCTCCATGACAACAGGATGGCTTCAGCTGAGGTGGAAGGCCAGTGATAGTGATTTTGGGGAAGTTGTGCTGGGGCTGCTGGTCTGGGAAAGCTGTGGAAGGGCCAGGGAGTAGGAAGAAAGAGTGGGACCATGAGATGGAGCTGATGAGGAGCTGAGCAAGTCTCAGTGAAGGGATCCTGGGGCAAGTGTTGGGAAAATAGGCCAATACCACAGGTAAAAGAGGAGGTACCCCTATAGAGGAAAGGACATGGTTCCTGTGGTTAGATGAAGTGCAAGAAACTTTCAGAAACACCTTGAGCTCAGAGACATCTCTTGGAGAAGCTCAGTCTTCAAGGTGGGGAGTGGAGAGCCCCTGCAGAGCCTGCAGAGAAAGAGAGGCCCTTGGTCAGTTTAATCCCTTTGGTGAACACCTGAAATGTTATATATACTATTAACCAAAGAAGCTATGAGTCTCTCAGTGAGTTGCAGCAGTGAGCGAAACTCTTTACCACTTCGGATAACCTGTTTTAATTGGCCATGCTGTATTCAGCAGATGAGTGAACTGTAAATGATCACAAAATGTAGCAGTTGCAAAAATCATGTCTGTAAATTTGCCTGCCACAGACAGCTGCATTCTTGAATGCCAGATGCTCACTGGATCCTGAGTAATTCTGCTGAGCTGATGAACAAATGCTTACAGGGAGTGTTGACTCTCAGCTGGTAATCAAGGTAGCAAAAGGCTGCCAAGAGGTTTGTTGCTCATTAAGAGTATGACACTTAGAGCCTTCAAAACAGTAACTGTGACTCTCCTTTAAAAATACAAGAGAGAAGTAATGTATTTTGGTAACTTTGGTCTGAAATTTTGATCATCCTTCTGTGGCTTGAGAAACTTGATTACAAAAGCAGTGACCATGCATGTAAATCTGGGTGTCCAGAGTTGTGCAATGGAATCTTGTTACATGTGAAGTCTCAGCTTGATTTTGCTCGTGTTTTCCTTATTATACCATGTATGTCATTCAACAATATATGTTTATCTTTGTTTTGATTAAGTTCATGCTGGTTTTGGAGGTATGGCCCATTCTTACCTGGACATAATGTATAGAAATTTGGAAAGGGGTGGACAGATGAATGACCAGCCCTACCGCACAGAAATCTTGAGCTACGATTTAGAAAAAAATTCATGCAACTGTCTATGAGAAATAGACCACCAAACCAAAATCAAACTTTTTAGTTACCATTCTCTTATTAGCTTTTTTTAAAGTCTTATGGTGTGCTTGTTTCATATTTTCCTGCTCTGTATAATGAGGAAAGCCAGAAAATCACTTTCTAAGGGGAAGAAGAAAGGTTGGAAACACAACAGCTAGAGTTATAAAACAGAACAGTCTTTCAGGAGAAAACATAAATATTTTAGCACATTATAATATTACAAGGGTGAGCAGGATAATACCCCATTCTAATAAAGCACTAAATTCTCATTACACTTTTAAGGAAATGTTAGGTATCTTTCTCAGTGAAGGCAACTTTTGTAAAACTTTAAGCTTTCTTTCCCGTTTTATAAAAATTATGACCTGACTTAGCAAAATGCTGCTGCCTTCTGGGTCATTCCAAGGAATTGTCTTCCAGCTGGAAACTCTTGAAGTCCATGGTTGACTGCTCACATTCTTTGTGATCTACTAGGAAAGAGAAGGATGCAATGCCAGCTTTATACTGATCAGTAAAACGTCAGTATCAATCTAGCATCCTCCTATCTCACTTATTTAACTTCTTTTAAGAAGATTCCCAGTGAACCTGAGCTTGTGATCTCCTGAAGGACTCCTCAGAAGGTGTACATGCACTGTTGTCTTCATGTCAAAACTACAATAGTCTTGCTGTGCCAGAGAAGGTGAATCTGGCCCAAAGTCAAAATATTGGTAATTCTTAGCCAGTTTTGAGTGGACATACACAAAAACAGTGCCTTTGGCTTCCATTCAGGCTGACTTTTTAAAAATTATTTTTAATTTTTTTTAAAAACTTCTTAAATTTTTTTTTCCCCCTAATGCTTTCTGGAATGAAAGATAGAAAAAGTGGGTAACTTTGTCTTGGTAATACAGTACCAAAAGATAGTAGATCATAATGTAATAATTTTCATCAAGGTCTCATTCTTAATCAAGGCCTCTGTTAATTACATCATCAAAATTTTCCCAGTTGAGACTGTAGATACATCTGCTATAAATACCTGCAGAGCAGCTTAAGGCCAAAATAGCAATGTTCCAAATCAATTTTTAGGCTGAAAAATATACTTTTTATTAAAAAGTTGAGAAAAAGTGGATTCCTGTGCATCAGTAAATGTAATGAGTAAAGTATGTAGAACTAATTACAGTAGACCATTTATTACCAAGCAACTGTTAAAAATCTTGAGAAAGAAATAAATAAATCCCACAGACACAATTTAAAATAATTTCTAGTAAATAAGCATGGAAAAAAACCCCTCAGACTGAAACATCTTTTGCTGTTTAGAGGCAGATAATCCATTCTTAGTCCAGGGCACAAATTTGATTTACAGTGCGTTTCAAAATATTTATCTTCTTTTTAGGTTTTCCATCACTGCCTAAGCCAATAGCCTGCTGTGTTTGAAAATGTCTGGGCAGTAATTGTAATTGTTTTTAAAGCTATTTTGGAAAATAGTGAGCTTTGTTGCATTTTGTAGATTTTAGGAATGCAATTATCAACATTGTATATATAATCCAAGTGACCTGCTGGCTTTAGAAGCTCAGACCCATAGAAAAAAAAAATTAACAACAGCAAAATGTTTGTTTAATTTTTGTTCTGTAGTTGGTCAGTGCTAGGTGAATTATGTTATAGCCAGTTTGGCAATAAATGATTAAATAACAATTCCATATAAGTACATAACAGTGTTAAAGTAAACATACAAGGAAAAGAATGATTTTTTCTGTGTGGATAATCTGACCCATTTTCATATGTCAGTATTTGATGAAGTACTGTGCTGATATGATGGTATCTGGGTACTCCTGTGATTCATCCAAAATTGTTAACAAACAGTTAGGTCTGAACACTCAACACAAAGTAATACATCTTAGAAACTGATACGTAAATATGTTAGATAAAGAGCTAAGTTTTCTTCTGTGTTGTTCATTATAAACTGACAGAGATCTTTCCCAAACTATTTTGTTGCCTTTTCCTTCTGCTTTAACGGGTTCCAGACTGAATATACTTTTCTGATAGGCATCTGTTGAAGAAGAGCTAGAGTGAGGTGATGTGAAGAATATGTTGGAATTACAGTTCCAGTTTTTAAAAAAAGAAGCACAAAATTGCGTTTCTGACTTAGAAATAAAATTACAAGTCAGTGTCTAAAAACTGTTAGCAGTCTACTTAAAAATATATCTGCACCAGGAGAATATTCTTTGGAGAAACATCTTTGAAATAGATCTTTCACCATGACCCATACACTGCATAGTGAACATGCAGTTGCAGTTTATTGACAGCAAAATATTAAAACCAGTTAGGTTCTCATTTCAGTTAAGCCTCACTCTGTTCTTTATTGTACCTTGACACATTTAACAGAAATCAGTTAATGCTTCAGAAAGTTCACCAACTATCCCAAGATCACGATCAAGATAAATGACCATATCCAAGCATGAAGTTATTTATTCACTGATAGCTGCCTAAACCATGCATCCATGTTTTACATAACCTCTGGGAACTTCCAGCTGTATTGTATGTATGCCTCACAGGTATATTTTTCTGTTAAAATTTTGTTAAAATTTTTTTGGAAAGCAACTTGGGAATGATTTTATGACAAAGTTACCTATAGTTTCGTTTTTGCAAACTGGCCATTAGTAGTCATATTTAAGCCTTAAAAGCTGTAAGTGTTTCATCCCATTGGTCCAAGGAACCAAGTGGCAAATTATAAACATTGCATATTTCTACATTTATTTAAAAATACTCTTCAGATTAGTTACAAATTTCCTGTTGCTTACCAACAGTGTCACAAAGTGCTTTTACACTGCTTTCTGGTTAGCATAAAATAAATATATGTTTTTAAAAATACTTATTAACAGAACCACTCATCCCAGAATGAGCTCATTTTAAATGCTCATTTATCTACCCTGGGCTTTATGCTAACTGATATTTCTCAAGGTCAAATCAACAAGTTTAGACTGGATCACAAACTTGAGCACTTGAACAGATATGTTCCCATATCTGGACAGGGTATTTTTCCTATCTGCTGCCATGTTCACCTCACCTAACTTCTCCCTAAGAAAAAACAAATCTCAACCCAGATGAAGCTTTAAGATGTCTCTGTAAATACTGAGCTCATCTTTCTGTTCTGTGTAACCCACAGCAGATCCTCTTTTACATTTATGAAGAACTTGTTCTAGGCAAGCTGTAGTTGTTACTCTTGTGCCATGTTCATTATGAATAGAAGCCAGCAGAGACAGACACAGGGCAGTGATATCACAGAAAAGAGGGAATGCACTTGCTAAACTGATGCAGGGATGAAATTGACTGGAAGAGCTTAGTAAAAAAACTGCTGTTCCTGTTAAATGGAGCTCTGAGGTATGAATTCTGCATGGCTAAGCCAAAAGGGATATGGGAAGAGATCTGATAATACGTGTGAGGTGCAGTCCCATGTTTACATAATTAACAAACTCTTCAGATGTTGTATTCCAATAGTCTCTCTGATGTGTTACTACCTGGTTTGGGTCTATCATTGCAGCTCTTTAAAAGGTCATATAAAGATAGGACTGTATACAAACAGAGGCAAGTATTGGCACATTTGCAAATCAGAGATTCCAAAATTCTTGTGGAACAAAAGTAGAACATCATTCATACTCCTGCTGAGTATTGGAAATACAGATAGGTTTGAAAAAGTTTGGAAACCATCTGTGAACCTTTTGCTGAGGGTTTTGAGAAACCATTTGTCCTAGGTAACCTCAGGCACTTTCTAAAACTGATGAAAGCTGTCAGGCTGTTAACTGGGCTTATTCACAGTCTTCCATTTCCTCTCAAAACTGCCTTTGGGTACCTGTCCCTGCTGGGAGGCTTCCCATGGGGGAGGTTACAGAAGGTTGTTGATGTGCTCTTTGGTGTTTCCTTTGAGGTCTGGAAGGGTGTTTCTGGCATTGCTGTTGGAGCAATTCTGTCTGAAGGAAAGCTAAAACTCTTGATGATATTCCTGTGCCTTGATAAGTTCTAGTGAATAGGTCAAGAGGTCTATGTGGTGCTACCATGGGCAGCTTTCTTGAAGTGGTAAAGTGGTCCATACAGATGCCTGGATTTCACAGGACATGACTGATCTGGAGCTGGGAAAATCAGCAAGCCCATTTAGGTTGTGGGGATTTATGTGGAGAAAATTTTCACATTTATTCAATTCTAGACATTCTGTTTTACTCAATAAAGCTGTATGAGAACAATTAAGGAAGATGCAAAGGCAGATTCCAGGCTGGCCATGGTGTTGCAGAGTCCTATAATTTATGCTTTTTCTCTCTCTATTTATATTTATGTATTTCATAATTTTATGTATATAATTTTAGCAGTTTATCTCTTACCCTGTAAGACATTCAACAGAGGCTAAGATATACAGGATGGTTGCTGTTTCTAATCCCTTTTGAGGGTTAGAAGGTTCTTTATCATTGATGGAGATTAACACTTTTTCCTTAGCAAGTTAATTGGTTTTTAGATCTCCCATTAAACAAACTGGCAGTAAAATAGGCTTGGTCTGATTCCATAGTACTGGTAGTACAGGGAACCCATAACTGATCCTTCCATCAGACAGAAGAACTTCAGTGCTGCCAAACTCAGCAAATAACACCTTTGGGATTACAGTGATTTAGAGCTGAGATAGTCTTGGTTTTCAGGTAGCTAATGCAGTTTTACTTATGTTCCTTGCAGAATGATAAGGGAGGTCACATCACTGATGTGAGAGGCAGCAAGCATTTGGTATCTGCTAATTAGGTGAATACCTACCTTCCAGAGGTTGTAGATCATGCAGACATTGGCAGAGCAGGAATAAGTAGAGAATTCGCCTGAACTAACAAGGTCTGATGATCCTTTCAGAAGATAAAGTAATTCTGACTGAGCCTTTGCTTTGAAATCAAGCAGTGTACTGGCATGTGTGCACATTAAGAGGCAATTCTAATGGTCATCACTGAACTCTGTTGGTCTAGGAGAGTTAGATCCTGCATTTGTGTGATTAGCTATTTTGAGCCCTGTTAGGAAAACAGGGAAGCAGAAACGATTAATACTCTGCTTTCACATAGATATTATTTTTTAAAAGAGCTGATAATAAACTGAAAGTGCAATAGCTTAAATGTTTCTAGGTTTAGTCACAGTTGTTGTATTCTTGATGTTCAATTATAGACTCTGCAAGCCCAGCTGATAAAAAAAACCTGTGAGATGTCTAAAGTTGCTGTCTTGCTGAGTTGCTGATCACTTGAGGAACAGGGTGTTATAAAAGAGAAATCTAGTAATCTTAATAAAGACATTGCTAATGGTCAAACTTAACACTATGTTAGTCAGAAAAGAACAATTATGGTTTCTCTTTTCCTCATCCCAGGAGTTTTAGACCAAAGTCAGTAAAGTGAGATTCTCCTTGCATGTTTATGATGTGTTCATTAGCTTCTCTATTAAGATGAAGCCAAAAATCCTTTAGTTATGTTTACTGAATTTATAGTGTGTTACTAAACTCTGTCTTATTCTAAAAGCAGTAGAAGAAGTTGGGTCTCTACTATTTGTGCCAGAACCTGTGAGATCTAGAAAAAAATTAAACACTTGGCTCTAACCAGACTCTCTGTGTCCAAGTGGGTTTCACTTGAAACCCACAGTCAGAATGTATACTTATCCCATCTAATGCTACTTATCATCACATATCTGTCACTTGCCATGTGATATTGAAACAGGCAGAGGCTTTCTAAAATAATGAAGCTAAGATCAAGACAAGCCCAGGAAATGCACAGCTCAGAGTGTGATCAAAATATAAGTATTTTAAGACCAGCTGAGCAAAGCAGAAGTAGTACGAGAGAAAAAATAAAAAAAAGGTCCAAAGTCAGATGTAACTTTCTTTTTTAAGTCCTACTTTATCTTCACTTCCTGTTTTCCAACTGTGCTTTTCTGACTGTCAGCATCATAACAGCTTAAGACTATAAGGATAAATGGAAAGCTTAAGTTATAGGTAGTAATTTCCTAGATATCCTCCAGTTGAATAGTATACTTAATTCTTTTTTTCTTTCAAATTCTTTGCCTATTTCTTTATTTCTAAATCTAAGTGGTAGGCCATGTAACAAAACACCCACAAAGGAGCTCAGAAGAGACAATGGCAGGAGAGGGAGGATGCCAAGCCCGTCAGAGAACCGGGCAGCTCACTCAATTTCACACAGCCCATTTTCATAACAAATCAAGGGCTCCTGAGGAATGACCACCTTGTCTGTTCCCTCCCAAAAAATGGAAAAAAATAAGTGGAAGGGGAGGACCTTGTTTTTAAGTTTGATACAACTTTTCATGATCAAATATGGCAGACAGAAAACCAAGACATTCCTGGAGCATTCTTAATGAAGGGAATATCTGCATTCTTAATAAATTTCTGCTGGTTTTTTTTTTTAGTTTAAATTGGAAATAGAATTTTCATTTCAGAGCTGTGAAAACAAGACAAAGGTGTGTCTTCAGCTGCGGTCTCATAAAGGTGGCTCCCTTGCCAGATGAAATCTGTTCGAATGGGATTCTTGGGAGCTGATTCATCAGGCCTCCACCTAAATGATTACAGGTCTATCAAGTGTTCTACTTCAGTGTTCCATCTACAAGCCTTTCACTGAGTTTTGTACAGTTTTTGGTCAACTGCTGTGGCCTTGGTAGTGGTCTAACAAGAAATGTGTTACTAAAATTTAGATGGGATTTAATATCTGTAAATCTAGGCTAGCCTTGTGTCTCATCCATCTTTGGCTTCTAGTTTAAGGAGAAACAAGCTGTGCAGATATGCTAAGGAAAAGTACCAGGAAGTAGCAATATTATTACTCGCAAAAAAGACTAAAATTTGATCAAATTATTTTGATTTTATTTCTCTTCACCTTTCAACTCATATATGCAAATACTATTTTGCACTTTCTGTTTATCTTTTTTGTTTACTTTTATATTTTCTTTACTTTTTGTTTACCTTTTGTTTATATTCATAACCAATATGAACAGTTCTATAACATACTACATTGTATTATAAAAAAATACATGTTTTGGAGCTGGACATAGGTAAATTATCTATCTACCATATATTTTAGAACCACTCCCTGTGATGAAAAGCAATTATCAAAGCATGCAAAATTGAGAGATGAAGAATCGTACCTTAGTCCTTTGTACTAGTTTCTTATACCAACAAAACTGAAGAGCTAACCTGTACTTCAACCTAAGTAAACAGTCAATGTGATCATTCCCCAGCCTGTATTGATACTGGGGGTTGCCCCAACCCAGGTGAAAAACCTTGCACTTGGTCTTGTTGAACTTCCTGAGGTTCATGGGGACCCACTTCTCATGCTTGTCCAGGGGTCCCTCTGGATGACATCCCATCACTCAGGTGTGTCAGTCACACCACTCAGCTTGGGGTCATCTGCAAACTTGCTGAGACTGCACTTGGTCTCTTCATCTCTGTCATTAATGAAGATTATCAAACAGCAGTGGTGACATTACAGACCCCTGGGGGACACCGGTCATCACTGATCCTCATTTGGACTGTTGACCAATACCCTCTACAAGTCACCATCTAGCTTGTCCATCTAACCATCCACCCATTAGTTCCATTTCTCTCCAATTTATAGAGGGAAACAGTGGCAAGGTGAGGCTGACAGGTTGGTAGTTCCCAGGATCCCATTCACCTTTTTTAAAAAGGTGTCCCCTTTTTTCACTGGGGACTCCACCTGACTTTATACATCACAGATGGGTCTTGGCAAGTATGTTAGCCAGTTCCCTCAGGACTCTGGGATGGATCTCATCAGGCCTCATAGTCTTATCTGGTTCCTCAGCTAATCATGAACCTAAAGTCCACTTATGAAGCCAGACACACTTCCCTTTCACTCAATTTTTTTTAAGAAATATTTGAATCACAGGCAGCCTGAGGTTCAGTGTTAAAGAGGAAAATTTCTTTCTCCCAGATCTAGTGCAATAAAAAAATTCAAGGAAGGTATGAGGTATAAAGAAGCAGGAGAAGATACATAATGGCTAATTTTAAGATTAATCTGTGTAGGAAACCCACATTTCGTCTGTAAAGAGGAGAAAAATCACATTCTAATTGTTCAGTGTTTTGCAATGATTTTGTATTATATCCTGAAGCCTTGTGGTCAAACCAGTATCAGCTGAAGGCAGTTTATAACAAAGAGAGGGGAAAAAAGAATAAAATCTCTATTTAACCTTGTAATTAATTGCCAACTTTTGTAATAAAGTTCTCTGTATTTTACAGACCACAAGGAAGGAATGTACTTTCTGTCCTGAGAAATGAGCTTTAATGCAAACTGCTGAGGTCCTTCTATTTGACATTAATTTTCTAAACAGTTTTATATTTTAAAAAGTTTTAAAGACTTGTCCTTTGTAACCTTAGAAAATAAACAGGCCTGTAACTATTATTTCCTTAGTGAGAGCTATTTCATTAATGAAGTTCTAAAGATGGAAAATGTAGAGACCATATATGATATTTTAGAGACTCAGAAGCTTTGCATAAAATAAGAGAAAAGTGGCCTCTACCTCATCTTCCTCTAGCACTTTTTCTAACAACAGTATAAAAATAATAAAATATAAAAATTATAAGATATAAAATAATAATGTATAAAAATAATAATAATTCCACAGAATTACAGTTGTTTTTCCGCTACTGAAATTTAGTAATTACTCACCAGGATGACAGTGCTAGCAGGAAAACTGAAATTCTGGATTCTTTTAGAAAAAATCAGCATTTTTAAACAGGTCCTTAATGCAATGTATAGGAGTTTTGCACATAGGACCAAATACATTCTGCAACTTTATTTGCTCTGCTACTTCTGATACTATAATGGCTGAAATAACAAGCAAATCAACATCTAAATCTAACCATATTTCCTGTGCTTTTAAAAATCATGTGAAGTATATAGTTTTATTAAATTTGATAGTTTCTTATGGAAATTGGCACAATGGTATCTAAGAATTCTCAAATGATAGTCAAGTATCTCTGAGATTTTCAAGACACTTTAAAAAGGTTAATAGGTCCCATATTTGACAATTTAATAGATCAGAACTTAATCTTGCAATTCAATGCCATAATGCACTATGGCTGTCCAGTTTCTAAAGTCTTGGAATGATTTTTTTTTCTATTTATTTGTTTATTTATTGTCTCCCTTGTAGCATTGTATGGCATTGTATAGCATTAACTAAAATGAAAAGTGTTATGCAAAGACAGGTCCAGAGACAAATGCTCCAGATTATCACTTATCAGCCTCGACTATGAAACTAGATTCTTCCTTCTGCAATTCTGGCTTTGTTCAAATTTTCTACCAGTGTTTTTGGCCAAGCAGAGTGCTTTCAGAAGACAGCCTTTTGTACTTCATGTGCAGCCTTGATTCACCCTCCAAGTCTCAAATATACAGAAAGGGGCAGAGGTCATTAATGAAAAATTGTTTTGTGATCATTAAAGTATGCAACATAACATCATGGACAGATTGGGAGGGAGGATTGCAGACTCATAGGGAGTGTCCTGAGGTTCAGGCTCTCCCTGATGAAATGCTGTTACTTCCCTCAGTTTTAGGAGTTGCCACGTTCACAGGAAAGGAATGCGGTGGTGTTTAGTCTCTTAGACTGGAATCAACATTTACACAAGAAAAAGTTAGACAAGTAAGTAAATAGCTATTTACCCAACCTCAGGATTAACTCCACAGTTACAGCATTAACTTAGATGAATTCCTGAAGGATTTTTTCCTTTCATTTGATGAAGATTTTTATACTTCACATCAAGACAACAACTCAGTCCTCCCGAATTCTGTTTTGAATATAAAATGATACATGTAATACGGAACTTGCCCTGAGGTTTTTCTCAGATGCAGCCCCCCTTTCTTATTAATACAAGAACAATCAGAATTGAATGTCACTTGTGCTAGTGGTTTGTCCACAACCCCTACCTGCCTTGAACTAGAAGGACTCTTGGGCAAGTTTCAGGCTCCCAACAGTAAGAAGAAATTTTAACATCTGTCCTGTTGCTAAAGTATATAAAAAATGTTACACTGTTGTGAGAGGAATGTTGGACTGATGGTTTGGGTTTTGGTTCTAAGTGTGCGTATAATTGCTTTGTGAACTGAAATCTATTTTTCAGATAGGCAAACTGAAAATTTCAAAAGCATGTACAAACTATTGCTAGTTCTTATCTGAAACTGGAGAGGATGGTTTTAAGTAACTTTCTGAATGGTAATAATTTTGCAGAGAATATTACTAGCCTTGGCTTTGTAAAAGACTGATGTCCTTTCAGCTCCCTTTCCTGTTATATCTGACCTGAGCATACATAAACAGGTAGCTGGATTAATATTGCATAAGCAGGTGTTAACTTCATACCTTTGTTACCCTTGAGTAACTGATTTTGAAAATCATACTGCTTTCACCAAGGTGCTTTTTACATTCAAAATAAACTGAAATTTTCAGCCTACCAATGCAAGCACTTTGAAGTAAGCAATTAATTGGCAGCAATAATAGGTTTCTGTCCTCTGTGTGGATCTTGGATGTTTTGACAGTGGTTTTCATAAATCTAGTTGGTGAGGGAACAGGGAAGTCTAAGGTGAGTATTTTCACTAAGATCATGGGTTTTTTTAAGTTCTCAATTTTTTTTTCTAACCTTTTTTCCTCGGAAACAGCTAGATCATTTTGAATGGCACATTAAGTATGGCCTGCTTGCCTGCAGAAGCTGCTCCTCCCAAGATCTCAGATTGCATTACCGACTTACAAAAACCTGACAAATTGTAAAGGTGTGTATCTTTACCTCCTACAGATTGGGACACAAGATAAAAGCTAATCTTTTATTACTAGCATTAGCATAAGTTCTGGGGAAAGTGCTAGAGAGGAAAATTCTTAATCTTGATATTTAATGTATTGCAAGCAGGCATCCTTGGGTTTTCTTGTAGTTAAACAGTAAAAAGTTAAGAAATGCCAGGATTTGAAGTTGCTTACTGCTGGATGGAGTTTATCATTTGAGGCTCGATAATGTGCTAAATGCACAGTATGGCTTTTCATTCAGAGCTGGCACATGTCCTGCTGGCTCTGTTGGGTGGAATTTTCATGTGCTTGCCTGCAAAATGCCATGTAAACAAATACTATGGGGGGAATTTCCAAGAATATGTAACGGCTAGATGCACAAGAGCATGTTGTGTCAGAGTAATGGGATATCTCCCTTAGTGATACATGCCTTCACCCCTTGTTTAAGGTATCCCATAGCTTGGTGTTTGGGGGGAAAAAATTAAGAGAGGAAGCAGAGGTCAGGTATGGGTTCTAAGCCGCAGGACAGACATAAGTACATGCACCCAGGTCTCCACGTCCTGGACTCTGGTGGTTGTTGCAGAGCAGCGTAAGTTAAACGATGTGAGCAGCACAGCTGATTTGTTAAAGCCTGTGCAGCAACAACCTTGAAGCTGATCACACGGCATGAGCTGTGTCCAAGAAGATGAAACACCTCTTCCTGTTCATGTATGCAGCGTAACCACAGCGTGCTCAGCTCATGAGGTGAGCACAATAACAGGTAACCATGTTACATACTCCATTACGTGGAGCATCATCTTATCACAAATTCTATAGGTATAAATATAAGTGCCTGAAACCAGCAAAGGTCTTTGCATTAACACTGCAGAGTCTGTGCCTTATTCCACCATCAAGTCGTAATCACAGGGTAGGAGATGATGATATTTCCTTTGTGTCTTGTCTGGAAATACATGTGATCTGAGTGCATATACCCACAAGTGAGAAAAAGTCAATATCTCTACTCTGCAATTAAGGATTAGCCTAGTCCACCCTTGCTTAATGCAGCTAAAGTGGTATGCATTTGGGTACCTACCTAAATCTACATTGGTTTCTTAGTAACTTTGGTTATTTGCAGGCACAGATAGGGAGGCTTAAGGAACGAAGTTTTCATGGGTATCTATCTATGCAAGTCTTGAGACTCCTTATGAGCTTAATATATTGACTACCCCTGTCCTGATAGCAACCAAAAAATACTTCTCTTTGTTTGCCTGAAGGCCAGCCTTAAATCATTTTCCTGTGTTTATGCTAATTAAATAAGATTATGAATGGAAACAAAAAAATCCTTTTTTGATTTTGTGAGCTGAATGTTCTTGCAAAGCTTATGCTGCATTTAAATAATGGTAGAAACTGCTTTAAGAGGGATGAGTCCTGAGGATAGGCATTAATTTTTGTGGGTTTTGACTAGCTGGAATATAGAACTGAGTGCTTGGGGATTTTTAAACTATTTTCCAAGTTTCTCTTAGCTTCTCTTCCCTCTGGGGTAAGCTGTGCCCTTTGGAAGCCTGAAAAGGAACAATAAGATCTGATGCATGTTTATGCAAAGCAATTCACTTAATAGCTGAAGGGGATAGTGCTGTAAAAGTGACATGATTTATAAAGCACAAGGTCAGCTTGGAGTTTTTGAAGCCTTAAGAAAGGGATGATTACGGTGCACCATATGTGATCAGAGATAGCATGGTTTGCACCTGCATTTGCTTTTTCAGCCTTTGTGCAATTGATTCTCAGAGGCCCCTGAGGCGATCCGAGATGATATGGTCTGACTTGCTAAAACGAAGAATAAAAATATAAGGTAAAAAATAAAAACCAAAACCAAAACAAACCACCAATCAACCAACCAAAACAAAAGCAAAATGAAAAAATAGTTAGGCAGAGTTAGAGTTTCTAACTCAAAAATCGAGTTAGAAGCTATTCTGTGTTGAGTCAAAAAACATCACAACTCTTATTTGTTTTTGGTCTTATTGTATATAACTAGCAAATGGTCCATATGGCTGTGAGCACTGGTAACATCAGCTATGTTAATTTCTTTGTTCAATCAATGTTTTCAAAGACTGTAAGAAAAAGGCAGGAATAAAGAGTAGAAAAACAGCCCATAGGTCTTAGCTTCCAGTGAGGTTAACTGTGTAGTTTAGAATATACAGATATTAAATTACAGAGGAGGACAATTTAGAATGGTGCTACATGGAGCTGGCCTTATAAAATATTAGAGATGCTATAATGGCTATTTTTATTGTTTCTCTTCTCACAATTTTTACATTTGAAAATTAGTCATCTTGTACTTCCAGAACTGCTCTTGTCCATCTGCCCTGAGTTTTCTAATTCAGTGCACTTCATCTTTTTTCCAAATGTGCTTTTGTTATCCTATGGTAAATGAGCTTCTGCTGAATTTGTGTGTTCATTGGTATACGACCTTGTATGAAACTCTTTCTGTGTTTCTGGTACACAGATTTAGTACACAAATACTTCATGCATTTTTAGAAGGAAAAAAATAAAAAGAAAAAAAAAAAAGATAAAAGTGGTTCCAGGTTCCAATTTGTTGGTGCTTGTACAGGCATTTTTTGTTGGTAAATCTTTCTTTGCTTTTCATTTTCTTTTCTTCAGCAGATTCAGCTCTTTCTCATTACTGCTGTTATCAAAGGCCAGGCTGCATGGGGCTTTGATTAACCTGGTCTAGTGGGTGAGGATCACTGTCATAGAACCATAGAACCCTCCTGACTATTAAGGCCTCTTCCAACCCAAACCACTCTATGATTCCTTGATGTATATATTTTTAGCTCATGTTGGTTTTCTGATGATCAGAAATGTTGTCCATTACAAGAAGCTGACATGGTGATTAGGGCAGTTAGAAGTGACACTTAATGAACTAAACATCTCACTGAAACTAAAAATAGTGGTATTTCTTTAATTGTTGCATACTGATGAAGTGTGCCAGTCTTTTAACACCACTTCCCACAGAAACTCTTTCCCCCTCTAGAAAAGATAAATTGTGTGGCAAACTCTGGAGTGTGCACAGGCTTGTTGATAAGAAGGGTGAAAGCATTCATTTAAATATGAAGGCTGTTTTGTTGCTCTGCCTCTTCTAAGCCTCATCATGTTAAAAATGTTCATACTTCTGTTTTGAAAAAATATCTTCCATGATTGTATAGTACTTTCCTCTACCAGTATTGTGAAGTGGTATAAGAGAAGATCTTTAAAGAAGTTAGTGGACTATCTGAGTCTCAGCTCCATGTGCCAAATCACATTATGGCAAGAAAATTGGTGTTTGGGGTATTTTTAAATTTGGCAGCTCAAATTTTCTACTTGGGAGTCCAAGTGCTGAAATAGAAAACTGTAAGAATGTATTTCTGACCTTCTGGTCATATTCTTCAATTACTGAGTCAAGTAAATTGTTATAAGTATAAAGTACAAATTAAAAATACAAACTAATGTCCTCCAAAGTAAACTAACAGTGTAATTTAGAGGAATTAATTTGGTGGAGCGCTCTGGGAAAGTGAAGGGATTGTACACATCCACTTACTGCTTTTAGTCTTTGGACCTTAAAAAAAATTAATCTCTAATTTTTTCCCCTTTTATCTCACTTTGACCATGCAAATTGTGGTGTCTGGGTTTATAAAAGTGCTTACTTATTAAAGACACTTCTGAAAGTGTCCCTTCAACACTGAGTTGTGACTCATGTACTTCAGTGGTGTTCTGCTGCTCCTCTGTAATCTCTGAGCACTATTTATGTGTCTTCACGGCTTGTAGCACTTTGAAATTTCACTTGTCAGATGTATCTGTTGGGTTATTCAATTAACTTCTGCTTCTGTGAGGTTGGAGCCTGCCACTGGAGTGAATCCATTCATGCTGCACTGACTGGTGCAGCTGTCTGTGATAGGTCCTTTATCAGGATGAACTGCTCTCTTCAACTAAAAATGCCCTGTGACAATCAGCATTAATACAGATATGGGATATCTTCTTGCCTTAAACACAGATAAATGGCCTTTACTGCATGTCTCCTTTTCTACTGTTAGGTGATCAATATTGAATGTGAACAGATATCCAAAGGAAAAAAACCTAGTTTTGCAAATGTGAGTTCCCTGTCTTCCCTTTCTCCTTATTATTTCCATATCTTGTATCAGTGTCACACAATTTTTTAATCTTTTCTAGCGACCCTTTCTTATATCTGTGCCTACAGCTTCTTGTATCAGTGTCACACAATTTTTTAATCTTTTCTAGCGACTCTTTCTTATATCTGTGCCTACAGCTCAATGCATTTGTTCTTTGGCTCCTTCCTTCCTTCCTGTATTGAGTGTAGTAATTGCACCAATTCTTTTTCCAGCCCTTTTGTAATACCCTCTTCTGAGTAACCTGACATAAATCTTTTCTATAAGGTTTACAGTTCTCCTCTCTTCCGCTGGGTATTTAAGTCATCTGGGTCTAGTGCTTTGTTGTCTTTCAGGAGTTCTAATTGCCCTCTTATCTTTTTTATGATGAGGGTAAAGCTTTTCAACCATTCACTCCCCCAAGCCTAAGAAAACCAGTCCCTAGGATGCTTTCTTCTTTCTTTTTGTGTGGACTGTCAATAAAAAAAAAGTACATCTGCAACATATTGACCATCTATCACTAGTTTCCTTCTTTGATCAGCTAGTGTTCCTCCTGTGTAATTTCTTTTTATGTTGATGGCATGTTTTTGTTTTTTTGGGGTTTTTTTGGGTTTTTTTGGTTTGGTTTAAGGGTTTTGTTTTGTTTTGGTTTGGTTTTTTTGTTTTGTTTGCTTGCTTGGTTGGGTTTTTTGTGTTTGTTTTGGTTTTTTGTTTTGTTTTGTTTTGTTTTGTTTTGTTTTGTTTTGTTTTGTTTTGTTTCTGAGTCATTCTTCGATTTAGGAACTGCCTTAATTAACTATATGTCATAATTACTTTGGTTTCATCCCATATGACTTATTCATTTCTTCTCTGGGAAACATGAATTTCTGACAACTCACTCCCTTTCTCCCTTGTTGATTCTGCTTTTTTCCCCCCAGAATTCAATGTTATTTTGTGTTTATGATGCATGTTTTTGGCAAAATGGTACACAAAAGGCTGTGCCCGTGTAATTAAATGTAGATTTATACAATTTTACCTATAGCTATTCTTATAACTCTAAATATGTATTTCCTTGCCAAGTGATTCAAATATCTTTTTACTGATTCCCTAGAACTAAAAACCAAAAAGCCTATTGATCCTATCACTATCCAAACAAGCAGACAGTCACATTGCTTGCAGTTTTCAAATATGAAATGCATGTTCTAAAGCTGGTGTGTGGTGTGTTTTGTCTTGGTTGTTTGCAGCTGTTTCTTGTGTGTGTGCTAACACCTTACTCAGTGTAAGAGGGGGAATGCAGTGAATATTGGCTGAGTGCAAATGTCTGAATCCAAAGGAACTGCATAGGAGACTGGGAAATGTGAAATCAGTCTTAACAGTCAGGTCCTATTTTGGCATATGAAAATGAAAAAAGTAAGAGTAATGGAATGAAAAAGTATGTAAAGTACTGTAAAAGTATGAATTCTAAAGGTTTAGTAATACTTGTCCTTTCCCTCTGAGATGTCTCAAATAAAAATCTGCCATTTGCAGATGAAACAAAGTTATTTCATTTCCAGATACTTTCAGTAACACATACCCTTTCATAACTGTTTAGCATCTACATAATTTATTGTTTTTTAATTTTAAATAAATTAATTTCATTATTACATTTATTTATTGCTCTTCCAGCCTCTATTGCTATTTTAAAAAAAATTATATATATTATAATTATGTATTTTTATATATATTGTTATAGTTATAGATGTATATTATTAGTTTTATATATATATACAAATTAGTCCAGGAGAGACTGGGTGAAGTCAATGCACATGGTTCCTGCACATGGAGGAAAAGGAGTAGCTGCTTCTTGAAAGAAGCACCAAGAGACAGGAAGTAATGTCTTCCTTCTTGTTGTTGTTATTTTCTATAGTTCAAAAGATCTTCTCCCTTCCGCAAAGGGGTAATGTCTAATTTATATCGCTCTGAAGACTGTGATAATGAATGAGTTTCACTGATCTGGAGAGAAAGCCTGTTATCTGGATTTGAGATTCCTAGTTTAAAAACAAAAAGAACTTTGGGTTCTGACAAATTTGTTGTACTTCCATAATAAGTTTTGTGTTAAAGGGCATCTTTCACTTCTTATATATTGCTAATGGTCCTTGTTTTTGTTCTATGTCCTTTTTGAGTCATCTCGCATTGCCCAAATCCACTAGGGAAGCTAGAGGTCTTTTATTTTGGATGGATGGTGAAGGATTTTAGATGATCCCATAGAAGGAAACCTTTCTCAAACTTTTCTCTCAATGTTTGTGATGAAACTGTACCTAATCTGAGCTCATAAGACAAGTCTTTGTCTTATCACTTGTTAGTTGGGAGAAGGGATAGACCCCACCTTTCTACACCCTTTTTTCAGGCACTTGTAAAGAGCAATAAGGTCTCTCCTGGGCCTCCTTTTCTCCAGGATAGACATTCCCAGCTCTCTCAGATGCTCCTCACAGGACTTGAGCTCCAGACCCTTCACCAGCTCTTTTGTCCTTCTCTGAACATGCTCCAGCACCTCAATGTCCCTTCTGAATTGAGAAGCCCAGAACTGGACACAGCACTCGAGGTGTGGCCTCACCAGTGCCCAGGACAGGGGGACAATCCCTGCCCTGCTCCTGCTGGCCACACTATTGCTGAGCCAGGCCAGGATGCCATTGGCCTTCTTGGCCACCTGGGCACAGCCTGGCTCATGTTCAGCTGCTGCCACCAGCACCCCCAGGTCCTTTCCAGCCACTCTGCCCCAGCCTGTGGAGCTGCCTGGGTTTGGTGTGACCCAAGGGCAGGACCCAGCTCTGGGCCTTGTTGAACCTCACACCATTGGCCTCAGCCCATGATCCAGCCTGTCCAGATCGCCCTGCAGAGCCTTCCTGCCCTCCTGCAGCTCAATAACCCACACAGCTTTTTGTCATGCATGAATTTAACGGAGGTTTCACCTGATCATCAATAAAGGTATTACACAGCACTGGCCCCAGTACTGAGCTCTAGGTAACACCACCTGTGACTGGCCACCAGCTGCAGGTAACTCCATCCAGCACCACTCTTGGGACTGAGCCATTCAGACAGTTTTTAACCCATGAACCCTGCACCTGTCCAAGCCCTGAGCAGCTGGTTTCTCCAGGAGAATGGGGTGGGAGACAGTGTCAAAGGCTTTAGTAAAGTCCAAGCAGACAACATCCACTCATCTCATCTCATCTCATCTCATCTCATCTCATCTCATCTCATCTCATCTCATCTCATCTCATCTCATCTCATCTCATCTCATCTCATCTCATCTCATCTCATCCACAAAGTGTGTCACACTGTCATAGAAAGAGATCAAGTTTGTCAAGCAGGACTTGCATTTCACAAATCTGTGCTGGCTGGGCCTGATCCCATCACCGTCTGGCATGAGCTGCATGATCACACTCAAGATAATCTGCTCCAGAATGTTTCCTGGCATTGAAGTCAGGCTGATGGGCCACATCTGCCTTCCAGCCACTCTTGTAGATTGGCATCATACTTGCTAACTGGAAACCCCATGGTTCACCAGGACTAATGGTAAATTAAGGTAGCCAAAAGAAGAAATAGAAGAAACCTATTTGAAAATAAGGAAGACCAAGGAGAAAGAAACTTTTAGAGAAACCCTAAAAAGAAAAAAAGAGTCAGAAAATGAGAGAAAAATTGAGCTGGGTAATCTATTTGAGTTTTATCCCCTCATAATTTTTCCTTTTCTTTTCCTACACGTAACTCTAAATAGGTCTATAAAGAGGTCCAGTAAGGACTCCAGAGTAGAGACTATGGTGACTATTATTTTGAAAGAATGACTACAACTTATTTCACACAGTATTTTCTTTTTTTTTTTATTTTTTTTATTTCATGGAGTAATTAAATTTACAGGCTAAGAATGAAATTATTTCCTTGGTGACTCCTTGGAGGGGAGCTGACTTTCCATTCAACAGTTTCTAAGAAGATAGGAAGAGAGAATAACTTTTCTACAGCAACAATATCTTTTTTTAGCTGTAAGGTTGATTTACATCAGAACAGATTGAATTAGATCTTAGTTGGATTTTTCTGTCCCATTAGCTTTTAAATCTGTTTTTATTTTATGAAACATGCTTTTCTTTCACTTCAGAGAACAGACATTTGTATGCCTTACCTTGCGGTTCATAATTAATTTTTGTGCTGAGTACTAATACTGAGTACTAACTCTGTGATCTTGCTGTAATATGTTGAATGTGGTGAAGGAGAAAAAGTTGTAACCAGCCTAGAGACTTTTCTTTCAGCACCTTCCAAAGATATATGATGATACCCTTCAGATTGTTCATGAATGAAGAAATTCCATCTGAGCCTATTTTAATGGTATTCATATTCAATCTATTTTGTACATCAAATGGATTTAGAATCACAGAATCAATGGTTTGGATTGAAGACTTTAAAATTACCTTCTTCCAACCCACCTTTCATGGGCAGGGACACCTTTTCCTAGGCCAGATTGCTCAGATCCCCGTCCAGCCTGGCCTTGAACACCTCCAGGGATGGGGCATCCACCCTTCTCTTCTCTGGGCTGAACAACCCCAACTCTCTTGGTGTGTCTTCACAGCCCTGTGATTAACTTAGTGGCTCTCCTCCAGACTCTTTTCTACAGGTCCATGCCCTTCCTACACTATGTTCCCCAGAAATGGAGAAAAAATTTTATGGGGTTCAATAGAGCCAAGTGCTTGATCCTGCACTTGAGTCATAACAACTCCATTTGCTCCAGAAAAATATCCACAGAATTCTGGTGAAAGAGAATTCAGAAAACTACCTCTAAACATCACAAAATGCATGACAATTTTTTTTTCTCATTAGAAATGCAGTTTAATGTTTAGAGCTTTCAGGACTGTGTCAGTTTCAAAACTCTCAGTTACTTCAGAATGGCTTTTAGGTCTCTAGTTAGTCTAAAACAAAAATCCTGAGTTGGAGAGCTGCTTGTGAAATACCAGGACAGTACTCAATACCTAAAATTTCCCCTAGTTCTACCTGCATGTAAAATGCAATGAGGGTCCAAGTGCTAAACAGGGATATGGTCTGCTGGATTTCAGGGAAATGAAGTGCTGTCTTCAAGCACTTAAATTTTGTTAGTGAGCATGAGCTGGTGTAGCAAGAGACTGCAGCTGTATTATTTTGGAGGTGTGTTAAACTGCTTTCAAACAGCATTGTCCCTGTCTGTCTTCTGCTTCCCTACAGCCTAAGAGAAATTTGGCATGGATGCTATGGAAAAATACTTATAAAGAGAAAAATGTCATATTAGTAAAACCCATGCAATAAGATGGAAGGTTTAATACGCGCTTTTCTGCTTGGTCTTCTTCCAAGACAGATTTTGGCCAAAAAATGAAACCCCAAAACAAACACAGCTTCTTGGTAACAGTAACTTCTAATATCAAGTAAGTAAAAATATGTTAGGTAAAAGAGAATCAACTGTTTTGGTGCAACCAGTGGATAAAGAAGTAGTGCTCTTTACCTCTGATACCTTGTGTTTTTCTCTAACAGGAAAACAGTTGTTTTTCAATGGACAGCATCACAGCATAAATGAGGTGCAAGCAGACAGAGGAGATAACTTAGCTCTGTGTCTGAAGCAGCATGCAGGTGTTTCCAGCTAAGACAGACTGACCTTCTACAGTGTGCTTCTCAGAAGCACAGCCCAGACTGCAGCACTTAGACATGACTGTGCTTTGCCTGACAGGTTCTAAGTTCTGCTTGGGAGGGGAGAGGCTGGCAATACAGTATGAATCCAGTTCAACCTGGATGTAGGACTGCTTTCATTCAGTTATGAAAAGATGAATATTTAACTTTTCTCTTTAACCCTGAAAAGATTTTTTTTCTGTGAATCCTACAGTAAAAGGTTTCAGCCTTGTTTTTCATGCTAAAAAATCTTCTCATTTCAAAAAAATGAGAGTGGTGTGTCTTTTGTAGGAGATGTATCTCTGACTGTTGTTTGGCCAGCTGTTTCTTATTGTCGGGGGAACAAAAATTTGGAGTCCTAAGGCACAAACTACTGTTACAATAGCCACATCTGTTCTGATTAGGTAATGCCCACTGAAAAAGACTAGTTGAAGAAATGCAGAAGTGTTCATTTTTTCAGATGATATCATATTTGGGTCTCAGGAAAGCAATGGCTCTGTTCAAGAAGTGTCTCATTTAAGAAGGGTCAAAATTTTGGGGATGGGAAGGGGTGGTTCTACAGAAGGCATCAACAGCAGAGCATGAAGACTATGTTGATACCAAGGAGTAATCACATTTTATGTCAAATATATCTCAGGAAACAACTGTCACTATTTGTCACTTGTAACAGGTTGTTCTACTAATTCCCAGGATTAAAGCAGTATATGGAAACACTGTTCTCCTAAACTGACTGGTATACCAGCAGGAACATAGACACTTGCTTCCCAGTTTAACTGATTTTTCAAGACATTAGGTATTGTTTCCCTTAGATTTTGTTTAATGAACTAGCAGGTCCCATTCATAAAAATATGCTATTTCATTCTGAGAAGATGGCCAAATCAAGCTATCTAAAGTTTCACTAATGTGTAGAGAAAGGTGCCAGAATCAAGGGCTAGTTATAGCAAAGACTGTGCTACACAGGACAAATATATTTGGACCTGAATAGTTGCAAAAACTCAGATAGAATATGTGTTCTGATTACATGTACAATGTCTCAAAAGATAAAAGAGGAGAGTTTCACTATCAGTCTGACCACTGACTGCATAGATTCTGTTTTCACATGCAAGGTTGGGGGGTCTTTTTAGAAAACATCCCATTATCTCACCCTGTTGTGCAGTTGGCTTTCATAAATGTGAAATGCTGTTTTACATTCTCAGTCACCACTAAGTATTTCACACACTTAGCATGTCCCTTATCTTCCTTCTCTGTAGACTGTGGGCTTCCTTTCAGTGGCAGTACACTTGAATAAAAAAACATGAGAAATCTGTCAAAGAACAATGGCTGGAATTTCACTTCCTTTGTGCAGACATGGCAGATCAGTTATCAAATGACAGATGAGAACTGTTGTTCTGACACTTCAATTCTTTTCTTTTTCACTTTCTACCTTGGTAAGAGGAACTATTCATATGATGATGTACAGGAAATTAAATTGTTTTAGCTACTGTGTATATGTGACACAATTTTCCATGTCAATACAAGGAAGAAGCCTCTACAGATTCCCTTTTGTTCAGAAGGAGCTCCATACCCTTCCTAACATGAAAAGATTAAGAAAGCTCAGGAGTGTTTACCTCCATCACATCATTCTGTTCAGACACAGAGCTGCTTTTTTATTCACTTTCACACTTTTATCCAGACAGTCTAAAGGACTTGAGGTTTGAGGTATACTAATTCCTGCTGTTTGCAGCCAGGCATTATATTGCTATTGTTCATGACACACCTGGGGAAGAGAAATGCCTGTAACTGACAGGATAATCAGGCTTTAAGCCTCAACTCTGTGTTAGCTTGGTTTGTTGCTGCTGGATTTAGTCAAGTATGAAAAGCATTTCTTATCTTACATAGACTATATAATATTAAGGATAAATTGCATCTCAGAATATATTTTCCTGCCAAGGAATAGGTTTTTTTCTTCTCTCATATAATTCTTCAGAACATGATGAAATTGAGCTTAGTTTTGAGAGCATAAATTTACTTTTATTGCCAAATTGAAGTCTGGTGTAGGGTAATAGGATTTGTGTGTAGTAGAGGAGTAATGAAGTTTGATCATGTGATGGTTTGACCAGCTTCATATGTAATTCTGATAAACAATCTTTGAAGTATTGAGTTGGTGAAACTATAGCTAGAAGGCCTGCCAAGCATGTTTGAGAACAAGACAAATTCATAATGATTGCAACTACTTGACAAAACACTAAAACAACAGAGTGCAGTTCAATATGGATGAATACCAAACACCACTGCTGGGAACAATCAATTGCTACAATAGAAAAACCCCTACTTGCTAATCAGTAGGTTAATAGCAAAGAATTTGAGAATTTTAAAGGTTCAGAGCTGAATATCATAAAAAAACCTGTGCAAATGGAGGAGAAAGGAATGCTTGGATGTACAGACAGGAGTGTTGTGTGCTAAGATTCATTCCTCTGTTCTTAGCATGGATCAGACTTTGGTGAGATTGCTATTTCCAGCTTTCTTTAGGTAACACAGGTAAAGAAAAATGTAGGTCAGCTGGGAGAAAAGCCAGAGAAGATTAGTAGGAATGATTTAGAGATATACAAAACATGACTGTTAGGGAGAGAACTAAAATTTTGGGATTGTTTATTCTAGAGGAGAAAAAGGACATGATAAATCTTTCAATACATAAAATATTGCTGCAGAGCGGAAAAGGTTATTCATTCAGACTTGTACAAGAAGTTACGAGTTGTGCTACAGCAAGAGAGATTTTGGTAAGATTTTAGGACAATATTTCTGAAGACAAGAATGGTCATGCACTGGAAAAAACCAAAACATGTGGACTATTGAGGGAGGTAGGTTAGACAAACCTCTCAGTCTATGGAAGTGTATCTGATTATGTGCTCTGTGTTCTAATTTGAAACAATGTTTAGTGGCTATGTTATTATTATTTGGAAACTCAGTAGAAATAGGATGCTATATGTAAGCAGAGAGCCAAGAAAGCATGAAAAGAGAGTTGTTCCATAGGTAGCTACATTAGGTGTCAGTGTAACTTTAATACTAAACTGATTAATTCATGGCTGTTAAAGGACTCTAGACTTCCATTTGTCCTTTGTACAATAGCATCCTTTTGTCCCTTATTAGCATTGCAGCCTTTATTCTCCCTAATGTTGCCTATATTTCTGAAGTGCAATAATTAGTGCACAATAGTGCACAATAATCAGTTCACTAGTTTGTGAATAAATAGCACCTCAGCCTCCAAACTCTTTTTTTTTAGGTTCATTCATACTATTTATAAATGTGTACTTTAGGCATTCAAGGTAGAAATCAATAGATAACTTGAGGCACTGAGTCTTTCTTTGTGTGAGATATCTTTGGACTTGCCCTCTAACCAAAAGTTTAACATATTTTTCTTCTAAAACTACATTCCACACAGGGTGTCTAGAAGCCAAATGCTGTCTGTCCATAGCTGTGTGATACTGTATTGGCTTACTCAAATGGCTCTGAATGCTTGTGGCTTTCTGTGGTCACAAGGGACCACTACTGCAAAAGCCACATTGTGGAAACAGCAAACACTTTGTCACTATGGAAGTTTTTTACTTGCTTCTCCCCATCCTGTCTGGAACCTGAACTAAACCTGTGGTCTGACAGCTGAAAGAGCAACTTATATTAGTGAAATTCAGATCAGACCAAAACATCAGAATGGCCAAAACAGAAAGAGCAACACTCTACCATCTGCTGCCAGTCTCAGTAATGTTGCTGCTTTGACCAACAGTCTACAAGAAGTATTCTCAAAATTAAACAACAACCAAAAAGGTTGCTTACCCTGCTGTAGTTTTTATCATATGGAAAAAAGTTCCAGATTCTGCATGTTTTGGTGCTGTCAGAAAGCATGGACTTAATTGGCACTTTAACAGAAGAAGAATGGCAGCTACTCCACAGTTCTGAAGGGTAAATAAATATCAATTTTCCATATTGAAAACAGACCTATTACAGAATAACAGGTACAGGCCTGTGTACCATGGTTGCCTGTCTAAGATGCTTACACAGACACAGTGCTTTTCCAGCTCCTTTCTCAGGCCTTGGGGTTTCCTACTGTGCTTCTGTTCCTCCAGATCTTAATTACACTTTCCTAATGAGTCTGATGCGCTGAGATTGTTTGGGTGCCAGCTGATTTTCACATGCTATAACGTTCTGGTGTATATGGCAGTGTTTGTCTGGTGTGGATTTTTTAATCTTAGCAATTTTCACAATTATTTTAGTCAGCAATAAGGACAAGTTTCAGCCCTAAAAGAATTAGTGTTTGTCAGAAAAACTGTTACAAATTGACTAGAAGTAAAGTCGATGGATGAAATTTGTTTTCTAAAAATAGAGCTTGAGAAGAATGAAACACACTTGTTTTACTCTAATTGCCTTCTGAAACACTTGGTCCTGGTACTAATTAGTTTGGCTTTGAAGACTGTATTGTCTTCACCTCAGTATTTTTACAAAGCCTTTTATTGGAGTTCCTGTCATTACTCTCCTATCCATTCCTCGATCTGAGACTGCAACAGATAATGTGCTGTCCTGTCTGCTTGTGAAGTCATATGTCTGTGCTACAAAGTCCCTTTTGAAAAATGTCTTTTTTGCATTTTTAATATCCAGGTAGCTACTGAATTCACATCTATTTCTCACTTGTGCATTCATATTTCTGGTTAAGCTCAGGAATTCCAAAAATAACATCAGAGAGGAAAACTCAGAAGCTCATTGCTTTTGTGGCTTTTTTTCACTGACTGAGGCTGGTTTTAGCCCACGTTGCCAATGATCAGTCTGTACACTTTAGTTCTATATTGTATACTTAAGCTGTGTGTGCAACAAATGATGTTTTCTTAGCCTCTCCATACAGCCTATTAAACAGTGGTTGGAATACTTCCATCTGTAAAGCAAAACCTTTGGCATAAATAATATTGTCATTTGGATAGGCTAGACATACTTTTGCAAAGTGACCTTGTAAAAATATTGTCTGAGGTATGACTGAGCCTAAATTATATGACAGTGAGGTAGTATATTTTGGTCTCTCTGGTATATGAGGTCTCATCTTGTAGCAGTGAAACCACCTGAAATTAAACAAAAAGCAGTAATGTGCATCAGATTTAGAAGCTGAAGAAAGCTGGGCTGAGTTGTTTATTTTTTTGGGTTTTTTTTAAAATCTATTTGTAAACTTATAAGTAAATTCTTTGTTTGGCAAAGGTAAACATTGCTTTCTGTGGTCTTTCTGTCTGATGATTTTTGTCTTTGTAAAATATAATGATATGAAACACTGTGAGGAAAATCTTTTTACTATATTATAAATATAAGTAAATCTGGAATAGTTTGGTCAGAATTATTCCCCCCCCCCAATTTTTCCCCCCCCCCCCTCCCCCATTTACAGCTATTTCAAATGCTTTTTTGTTGTCATTTGGGATAACTTGGCTGTTTGGGTGCCCTGGATAAAAACGTCTTGCACAAGATGCACAAGATGCATATTTCTGCTTCCACTCAAGGGTCAATCATCTTAAAACTTGTCTTCCTAAACTGCAGGGCAGGGTTAGGTATTATAGTTAATGACCCCATTTACCAGCTCATGCCCCTGAATCATTGTCCAGATGTTCATACTTACTGTACCATCTTGCCGAATCTACTTGAATACTTAGGACCAACTCATGCTCTGACATTTGAAATAATTCATATGTTTAATGTGTAAACTCTTCCGTTTGTATATTCTGTAAATGTAAGGCAGAGAACACTGTAGCTGTAATGGAAATCTTTATTTAAAATCACTGACCACATACTGGTGGTTATTTTCTGCCGTTCCAGTGAAATAACTTTTTAGATGGAAGGATGCAATACCTCATTATACAGGTCAGACCATACTTCCCAAGACTGTAGAGAGTCTCTGTTCAAGCAGGTGAAGGAAGTACCCTTTGAATGCAATGGTGTATTAAAATCTGTTTGACTCAGAAGTTACTTCTGAAGGAGAACATATGTGATTTTGGAACCAAGTTTCAATAGTGGCTGCAAAAATGTGATCTTCCAGACTGTGTTCAATATAAAAAGGTTCAGCTTTCAATGTTTTATTGCTGCCAAATAAAGCTGCCAAAACTAAAGGCTATCCTAGGGCTATTCTGTAACTGTGCCCTTTTACTACTACAAACAAATCACAAAGGGCAAGTGTGCAGCTTAAATAACCTTATGAATATTGGACTGGATTTTCAAGTGTGTAATACCCATTGACGTAGCAATATGACCATCATATCATGCTTTGTTCCAAAGCCAGTGCATTTCATAAATTAGAAATAGGAACCATAGCAAAAGCTGTTCATGTAAGGATTTGTTTTCTCTTCCATGTGACAGTCTAGGTCAAAAAGTGTAGATTTCTCACCTACCTTCCCTATAATGAAACTTTTTTCATTTAGATTTGGTGAATTAGTCTTAAAAATGCAAATTTTTTTTCTGATATGTTGAGGTTTAGGATCATTTTCTTCCCCAGAAGGTGCTGTCTTCTTATCTGCAGTCTTCTCTCATGTCTGTAAATTTGAAGTTAAGGCAGGGTTCTTGTGCTTTTTTAAAATAGTGCTTTAAGAGTAGAAGGTTATTAGTACCAACCAATTTGTTTAAAAAAAAGCCTTAATCCTTTTTTCCCCAAAAAAGTAGCTTTCAGGCTTTTGTACTGTTTTTGAGTAATGCCAAACAATCGTAGGTGACAATCAGCAGATCCTCATTCTGAGGCCAGATCAGGTACAATGCTATTTTGGTATGTGTTTCAGGAATAACAATTTTAAAAATAAAAGATGTACAGAGGGAGTGTTTAAAAAATAAAAAAGTTTAAATATAAATATTAAACCTACTCTCTGAAGCTTTGGCAAAATGTATTTTGCATTTGTAGTATGTACAGAATCTACACAGGCACATAATAAAGTAAAATGCAGCTTCATCTTTTATGTTTGACTTGCCTGGTGGTTTACAGATTCTCCAGCTCAGCACTGGGAAGCCAGCAGACATACAGAGAGATGGAGAGGACAGTGGGGCAGAGGCTAGCTATAAGTGCAAAAACCATTGAAAGGTTGAGGAGGGGGAGGACATAAATTCGTTTTCTGGCCCTTGGTAGTAGAGGCTGACAGGGAAGGCATGATGATGAGAGAAGTGGTGATGAAGTCTGTGGAGGCAAAAATTAATTCTTATGCGTCTGTGTGAGATGCACAAGAAAGACCTGCATAAGTGTGCAGTAGCTTTGTAAACACACTTGTCTAATCTGTGACTTATAAATGAAGCTAGTGCTTTGTGAGCAGGTTCTTAAAAAACCAAAATAAGTGAAAAACCAAATAGAAAACTCCATCTTTGATGGATACTGAAGTGGAAGTGAAATCCTGCCCAGAAAAAGTACCGTGAAAATGAATTTAGAGGAATATTTTGTTGTGACAGCAGCTGAGGTGCACAGGCCTCTGACAGACTGCATGCCAACCTGCCCTGGGTGCCTTGCAGACCAGAACTTACCCATCAGGGAGCCCCACTGTGGGCACAGAGTGTCTGTCAGTTTGCATGAGGAATTTGTGACTACCAAAGTGGCATGTGGCACATCTGCTCAGGATAACCAAAGGGAATCACTTTATGGCACTCAACTGGGAAGTAGCAAACTTCTGGTACTTGCTGTATCAGTAGGGCAGGAATGTGCTATTGAGGGATGATCAGATACATTCAGAAACTTTTCAGTTTACATTCTCTATGCTGTATGTACATCATCAGGAACTTTATAAATAATGCCATTATAGGATCAGCTCATTCTTTGTTACAGTGAAAGATGCAAGCAAATACCTACATCTTTTACTGAGAATACACAGGTAAGAAGTCCCCTCATCTTGTAACAGCCCAAGTCTGTCATCATTTAAGTAATGACAGATGCACATGTCTCTGCCAGAATGAGGCAGAGTCTGGAGCTATCCTTTCTGTCTGAAGCTAGTTTTTATGTTGCCAAAACTTAATTGTGTCTTTTGCAAACTAGATGTCCTCTAGACGAAAGCAGACAACATTGCTGTGTAGTTATTTTAACCATTATAGTTCAGACACTCTGCTGCTGGGGAAAGGAGACAGTATGGGAAAAACCTCTTCCCAAACCTGCTCATGGTGGAAGCCAGCAGCTCAGGGAAAGCTACATAATGCAGCCTTGCAGACTACACTCCTAGCAGCCTAGGCATAGTAGCTATTTTGACAGAAATAAACCAGGCTCTGTTGTACTGCAGGGCTTTTTTAGCTCCAAAGCAAAAAGGGCACATTGTACTAGCTGTTGGCATCACTGACAGCATTTGAGGCAAGCCTTTAAGCTCTTCTTGAGGATCTTGCCATTACCAGATGTGGCCTAGAAGGACATTATCTACTCAAAACCCAGCTGGTTTGGAAATGAAAATGTTGACTTTACCAACATAATGGTATCTACAAGGATGAAAAGCTTTTCCCCCACTCTTTTTCAGTTAGAAAGTCACATTACTTCTTACAAAATGAAAGGTTCCATTAATGCTTATATTAAAAGAAAGGCAGGGATGACTGGAGGAATTGTCTCGTAGAACATTTGTCAACACTGGCCCACTGTGTTGGTAGCAAAGCTGATGTACTGAAATTGCAGGTTAGCTGCCACTAAATATTGGTAGACCTTTGGTAGATCTAACTCAAAATTCAGTCATAATCTGAGTTTATCCAATTTTTAGCTTGATGTAATGAGTAATCAAAAAAGCAGGCAGTGATGGTGGGGAAGTAGAGCATACCCAGCAATTTTAAACACTGCCTTGTCTACAGAAACGACTACATATCAGCACTGCAGTTTGCATCTTCAAGCTGGACAATCTGTGCTCATAATTAGTGTTTTTAGGAAGTAAAGCTTCACAAGGAGCTGTCAAGTCATTGCTTTTGTGTTGGTAATACATAGACAAATGTTCCTAGCTGTATGTTACAACTATGTAGAGATTATGTTCATGTTTATACAGACAGGTGAGGCCATAAGAATGGAACTTGGGAGATGCTTAATAAAGATTTAAGAAAATATAATCAGTCAAAAAAATCTCATTACCATAGAACAAATCCTTTCTTCAGCCACAAAACTAACTTTCTTCAGTTTTCAACCACTAACCTAGTTCAATATGACTGTTTCACAGAGAGGAAGACACCTGGCCACATTGTATTCCCCACCTAATTTTCAGTAGTGACAAATAAAAGGTGTAACTCTGAACACACACATTTCACAGTCTATATAGAACAATGCAGTGCTGTACCATTCAACATTTCATGTAATTACAGCAATGCCACATGATAAATGAAATGGGTTTGAGTTAAAATTATTCTGGTAGCCTGGCAGTATCGGAAACAGACAGGATTGTTACTGGCAGAATGGGAGTAACCTATGACACTGCAAACTATTTGTTTCAGACAAGTGCCATCATTTCAACTTCTTTCTGTAAAGTTTTTACTCTTTGGTGTTGACTTTACCTGAGAATGTACTTCTGACATAAGCTTTTCTTAACTTTGCTCCAAACATCTCCTAAATGAAGTACATAACTAATTCTGCTTCACTGAAATGAATACATTTTAGACACCTCAGCCCATTTCTAAGTAACTTTCAGTTGACTAGTTGTGATAATCTGACTTTCAATGCACACTTACCAAGAAAATGTCAACATAGTTACACTCTTGTTCTTGTCAGGTTACCAGTCCTGTGTATGCACTGTCCAGACTTTTCAAACCTCTTCCAACTGAGCAGAGTCCTAACCCCCAAGTTAAGTTTCCTCTTTGGGCTTCTCTAGTGCTTAAAACTGGGAACCATCTAATACAGCTTACTCAGAGTTGCTGCAGGTAGTCAGCAAAAATATTCAGCTAAGAAGGGTGCTAGTCAGCTTGTCCATTTATTGACTCATGCATCCTCCTTTAGCTTGCAGAAAAACTATATAATTAGAGCATTTTTTTTTATTCTAGGAGCAGTAACTGTCCTGGAATTGATGCTCAAGTTTCTTCTCAGATGTTCATCACCTTTTCCTCCCTCCTATCTCCACCAGAATGGGGGTCTGATATGCTCATTTCCTGTTGTGACTGATATAAAAATTTCTCCACAAAGCAATGAATAGAGGTAACAACATGTGACTCTAGATGTTCTTCACTTTGCCAGCAGCAGCCTGACAGAAATGACTTAATGATTAAAAAACTTTGACTCACTAGTTTGTGAATGGCCATGTTAAAGAATGTAACCCCTCTTAACTTCTTTACACTATGGCACAGTATAATTCACTCAGCCTAAGAGGAGGATAATGACAGCTTTATACAGG